CTCCCGGCCCCCTGTGTGCCCTCATTAGAAGAAAGGCGCCCTCCACGCCAGCGCCATTACGCGCCTACATGCCAACGCCGCCTCGGGCCAGGCCTTCCCAGTTTCGGGGTGTGGGGCTAGCCGGATGGGACAGTCGCCCTGCCTAGAGGGGGCTCCGCTGGCCGCCTTTTCCCAGCCTGCCGGCGCTCCCAAGGGCAAGTGCGAGATTCTGGAAGGCCTGCTTCCTGCCGGTCTTCAGTCAGAACAGGGCCAAGAGGAAGCTTGACCCCAAAAGGAAGAGGGTCCCTGGGTGGCTTAGGAGATGTGAGTCCATCCCAGAAAGGTTAAGGCGTCTCTGTAAGGTTAGCTTTGGATAGAAGCAGTTGAGGATTGCTAGAGCACACAGGGTTATATGTATCCGCTCTTAAAGAAAGCCGCAAAACTTTCATAGGACAGATTCCCGAGCGACCAGCATAGTCTTCAACTTGAGAACAATGTTTGGACGTTTTTAAAAATTTTTACAAACTTAAGCCTTCTTGAATGACAGCTTGTTGACAATACTGTCTTCATAGGTACAAGTCCCTATTTTAGGCAGGAGTTTCCACCTACAACTCTGATGTACATTTGTTTGTTGTTAGGAAGGGGTAAGGGTTAAAGCCAAAATAAAAAAGTTTTATTAGTAAAAACCTGAAATCCTCTTGAGGCTTTGTTTGCTTACCATATGATGTGACAGCTGCTTCATACTGAGGTGATACCATCCATTATGTTTCTCTGTAATATACCTTGAATAATGAAATAAAATGGGTAAGTGGGTAAGTCAGCCAGGAGGTACCAGCTCTTGGTCTCTCTTCAGCCCTTTTAGAAGCTTTCCACCAAATGGTCTGGTCATATATAGCACTCAGGCTGATGTTTTTTTGCCTTAAAAAAAAAAATCACACTTAGAAAATGATGTGCCTTAGAAGGCAAATGTACACACAAGAATATTACCAGAATAAGATCAGCATGGGCAGGGAATCTAAAGTCTGACTCCACTGGGCACTGATCCTGTAAGTTTTTTGGCCCCTGACATGCTATTAATGTCATTTAGGACTGGAAGTTCCCTAAAGATCAAATCATCTTAACACACACAGTGAGCTTTCTGTTACTTAAAATGCAAAGTCAATATAAACTACTCTGCTTACAGATAAACTAAAAGTTTACTCCTAAGCTTCATGAAAATATGGCTCATCTAACTAGAGATCCAATTTTACATATTTGTTATGGCCCATCCTTGGATAGCAAGTGGCCATGGTGGTATCTGATTCACTTCAAGCACTTTATCATGACCTGTATTACAAAAGAATAAAGTCAAATGTAGAATGAGGCTGTTTTCAAATTTATAGAAAATATACCTTTTGATTTACAATAGAGAAAAATCTAAGTGCAGGGTGTTTCTCACAGTTTAATAATAACTGGAAAACAGTGTTTTCCAGAACAGCACTGCTTAATAAACAATGAAAATTTAATGTTTATTATATGGCAAGCACTGTTATAAGTGTTTTACAGTACTATTTTTATACTATTAACAGCTGAGGAAGCAGAGGGGTAAAGTAAGTTTTGGTAGATGTGTAGAATGAAATACAAAGCCATTACAAATTTAGATGTAAATCTTTTTTTAGAGACAATGAAAAATATAATTTTGCATGGGATTTTTAAAAAACAGATATGAGTTCATTTATGTAATACTGAATACACACCTTTTTTTTTT